GTGAGGGGGTGACCTTAGAGCACTCCTCCTTTGGTAAAAGGCCTGATCCCAGGAGTCCTGTGAAGATCAAATGAGCGGTTCCCCGCAATTGTGCACTGCACAGAACCATTCTGGTAAAACTGCTCAAATCATGGAGACCTAATTTGTTTTTAATTTAACCCCTGACCCACTTCACAAAGAACAAAGTAGCAAATTTTAACTGAAAATGTTCTGTACAACTCAAGAAAGAAGAAAAGAAAAGAAAGGTACAGGTGAAATGGTTACAGGGTGAGTTTACCTGAGATGTACCCTGTGGAAACATCAGCAGAGATGGAGCCTGGCCTCAGGTACACTGTGTTTCCTTCCAGGGCAAAACAACAAAATCCCTCCTGAATGAATTACGTGGTAGCGTTTGAGCAAAGTTTAGGCTGGAAGGAGCTCTCCTGGGCTGGCAGCACACTGTGCTCCCTAACCCCCTTGGCTCTGTATTTTGAGCACCCGTGAGTGTAGGGGAGGCTCAGGTGCATGGATCCAGATGTGAAGGTAAGCAAGTGTATTGCTTCCTATGAGGACCTGCAGCCCCTTTTTTTCTAGCTCAGAAGCCCCGAGGGAGACCTCTATTTTAGAGTTCCTCCGGTGGCCACACTTGTCAAGGAAATACCGATGTGGAAACTTGGCTGTTGGGTTGTCTGTCTGGCGAGGAGTGGAGCGTCCCTGGCTGGTCTCAGCCAGCTGTGTTTTGGGTGGGGGCTTTGTACACTGGTAGGCTTTGGAGGCTGGTGGGTTTGTAGACTAGTTAGTAAAAGTGCAGTGTTTGCATTTCTTAGTGAGGGAAAGAGAGGGTGGACCAGACCCAGGGGACAAGCTGAATGATCAGCTGGGACAGTCTTGGGTGTGTCCCGTCACATCCCACATCCCGTGGCATTTACATACTTGGGAAACCTCTGGTGCTTAAGGGGCTTTCTCAGGCAACTCCCCTTGGGACTCACAGAAGCACCTCTGTGTGAGCAGCACTGATGAGAAGATCTTTCATTTGTTGAGTATCTACTAGGTGCTAGGCATAGTACATATGCTGTCACCAGTTCCCCTGACAGCTCTGTGAAGAGGGGGGCACCGTCCCCATTTTACAGGCAAGCAAACTGAAGGAAACTGCCCAAGGAGCAATGCTTGCCCATTTGCTTAGCAGTTCAGGTGGCTCAGTTTTACCCCTGCGCCTGTGTCTCTTTTAAACATGGCAGCCAGGGCTCAGTTGTGCTAAAAGACCGGTGAGGGAAGAGTGTGGATCCATGTGGGAAAGACGATGGTGACAGCATCCCTAAGTGGAGGCCGAAATACTGGGTCTAAAATGCGGGCAGCTGCTCCTTCCCACTTGGAGCATCTCTCCCGCTTACCCTGAAGTTTGATTTTACTCAGAGCCAGGTGGTTTTCCCACAGGTGGAAGCGGGGGTGGGGGTAGGAGTGGAGGGGGTATGTGTGTGTGGGGGGGGCTGGCACTTTTCAGGGCCAAAGTGATGCAGTTTTGACAGGACTGTAGATCAGGCCCTTTGTGTCTGTGAATCTCATCCATGAGCAGACTGGACTTCAGGGCTGAGGACTGGGCAGGGATGGAGGCTATGCCAGAAGCCCCTTGGGATGGGGTGAGTCCTCCAAGACAGACGGACTTAGTGGGGAATGCAGAGCTCTGAGAGGAGTCGGTGGTGGTGGACTGGCCAGCACATGGAAACATGAGTCTGGAGGAACACTAGCCAGATGTTTGCCAAGGCTGAGAGTTAATGCAGAGACCAGGAAGCCAGAGAAGGAGCCCATTGATCCTGAAAGTGGTTAACCTCATGGGATGTTTGCTAAAAGGGTGGCTGGCACTGAGCTTGCTGGGGCCAGGGGAGCTTTTGGGGACAGCAGTATAGACAGAATGGGCAACACCAGCCTTCTGCGGGAGGAGTGGGATGGTGGGTGCACAGCTGAGAATGGCACCTCCACGGGAACCGCCACCCCAGTGTACCTTTCACTTTCTGGTGGAGTGATACCAGCCTTAGCCGGTTTGCCTCAGTGGTTAGAGCATCGTCTTGGGGACTGAAGGGTCCTGGGTTTGATTCCGGCCAAGGGCACATACTTCGGTTGCAGGCTCGATCCCTGGCATGGGGCTCGTGCGTGGAAGGCAACCAATCAATGTGTCTCTCTCACATTGAGATCTCTCTCTCTCCCTTCCACGCTTGCTGTAAAGCAATGGAAAAAATATCCTCAGGTGAAGATTAAAAAAAAAAAAAAAGGAGTGATGCCAGGAAACCCCATCTTGATGGAAGATGGTGCTAGGGGTTGAGAGCAATATGTGCAAAATTGACACTCCTCAAGGATTTCTTCTCTGTTCATATGAAAAAAAGGAGACCTGAGAGCCCCAGCTTCGCAGGAAGCATAGCCCATGAAGGGGAGTTGGGAGCTAACCCTGAGAGGGCCGAGAGATCTGCCCTGGCCGCCTGCCAGTCCTTGGGGAGCGGCTGGTTTGGTGGATTCTGATCCTGGTTACTGGGGAAATCTCTTTGGTCGAGACTCCGAGGAAATGGGGCAGCTTCCAGAAAAACCTCAGCCCAACAGAGAAGTGTGGGAGGCCCTGGTGGGACTAAGGACTGGCCCCAAGGATCCTGGCTCTTCAGGGGATGGGGCAGCCTTCCGGGGGCTGCCAGCGGGAGGGAATCAGCTCCTCCCAGGAAAGGGAGGGGACCTATAGATAAGACCCGCAGCTGCTGCCTATGACATATAAAGGCCCATAGATAAAAGCAGCCAGAAAAATCTTTCTTGAGGGTCTGGTTTCTTCAGCCAACAAGAAGGAGAGGAGTTGAGAACTATTCTAACATTTGAGAGTTGGTTGAGGAGGAGCTGTGACGAAGGAGACCTGAGATGAGGCTGGAGTCTATAGAAGCACATTCTGTGGGCTCCAAGCTTGGCCCGGGATCACCTCCGTAGACTTGGAGGTCCTGTAGGGGAGGAGATTTCCACCCGACTTCTGGGGTACCTGGAGGCTGAGAAACAGCTTCTGGGAAAAATAGATGAAGGAGGGAGCCCCGATCTCCATCCCCAGGGAAGAGCTGGAGAGTCAGACATGGTCCAATGGCTGGACAGGTTCAGTAGCTGGAGGGCCTAAGCCTGGCCCAGGAATTCCCTGTGACCTGCTTTTACCTGGAATTGAGATAAGAAATCAGGGAACTGGAAGATACCGTAAGACATCTGGAATAACTCCCAGAGCTTTTGGGGAATAATTCTGGGGTTAATGAGATTGGAATGCAAACACAACAGAGCTTTCCTTGACCTACGTGCTGTTTGTTCGTAGAATCCGAGATCTGGCTGGAAGGCCTGGACCTCAGAGGTATTGACAGAATATGATGCTGTTTGCCAGTGGGACTACTGTGTATGGTTGCAGAGCCACCCTCGAACTTGGTCTTCTCTCCACCTTCTCTTGCA